ATGTTCCTAATGGAAAGTGATGATTTCATCCTAAAAAAAATTATTATTTTTAAAATTGCCTTTCTCAGACTTTAGTACCCAAAAAAATTAAAATTTTAATTAAATAAACTAAGATTTGATTTAGTATCTAAAAATTGATATAATTTAGAATCCCAAAAAATTTATTAAATGAATTTTAATATTAATTTGATTGCAATAAAATTAATTTGATCTTAATTCAACAAAGTTGAATATAAATTAGACAAAATTAAATATCAATTTTTGATAAAATTATATATTAATTTATAATTTAGGGTTCATTTCATGTTGAATATTATTTGGTATTGATTAAACCAACATGAAATTGACTTTAAATTATAATTTTTTTTGTTGTATATAAACTTAAAATTTTGTATTTTAACCCATAAAATTTAAATATAGATTTTTTCATAGTACAAATAAAAACTACAAAAATAATCTATATAAAAACCATTGTCACCGAGAATTTTAGAGGAATTTAGGGCCTGAATCAATTAAGATATAATTTCACGCAAAGATGTTAAACTCAAATAAAAAAAAGTCATCAAATCATGAAAAATATGTGCTATTTTTTATTTACATTAAGTGTTATTTACAAATTAATAAGTAAGTGGCAAAATACATGTCATTAGATATATAAATTTTGAATTAATTTCATAGAATAAATAATTGTAAAATATGTAGTTTCATATGTTTTATGAAGAAAATAAGATAATAATATGAGAGAGAGAAAGAGAGTATAAAGATAGATATAGAAAGAGTTAGATAAGAGATAGGAGTCTTAGAAAAACTTGGTGTGAGAACCGTCAGATCAATAATTGTCGAGCGATCTGAGCCGCGAAAAATTAAAAACAAAGAAATCTAACTACTTTATTATATAGATTAAAAAAGAGTATAGTAAAATTTTAAAATTGAGACGGGGTATCGTTGAAGTTAGGCCTCGTTCGCAAGGGGTGCATATGAGATTTACCCTATAAAATAATAAGGGATATTTTTGTACAACAATGCTCGCCGTTAATTCCGTAAGTCGACAACATCTAATAAACCTAACTTCAAAATTGAAAGGGAATGTGATTGAATTTAAACATAACTGTAAGGAATGTGAGTGGAACTTTTTCTTAATTATACTTTGACTTTTCGATTTATTATGGTGAGAATAAAAATGTCTATTGTTTTTTTTTTTGCAAAGATTATTTAATATCGACTTAGGATCATAATTAATTTTAAATATTTTATTCAATATCAACTCATTAATTTATTTTTTATGAATTCTTCCATTGATTTGATTAAAAGATCGAGCTCAAAATTATGTTAGAACTTATTCAAAATTTAATTTTACTCGTTTCACATGATTATTGGCTATTAATGTCATGTACTTATAAATCATGTTTTTTTCTTTCTTATAAATAAGCTCAAACTTTATTTAAAAAAGTTTTAATACGATTCCATCCCCAATCTTAACGAATGAACCCAACTACACTCTGAAGGATTCACGCAAATTCAAGCAGATACTCTCTCTTAATAATACTCTATTTATTTTTTTTTGAAAAATACTATTTAGACCTAATTTGAGGACCTAAGTTAGATATGTAATGATGTACAATTATTTGATTGATTGTAGCCTTCACCTAATATTGAAACTCACAACTAATCTAATAGTTGTCTTAGAGTGTGTTTGACATCACTTAAAAAAAAGTATTTTTAGAATTTTTAACTTATGAAAAATATTTTTTTAAAAAAAATAGTGTTTGACTTAACTTATTAAAAACACTTTTTGATAAGTAAAAACAATTTTAACACTTAGAGAGTGTTTAGATGACTTATGAAATCTGAAAAGTACTTTTTTAATAAATGCTTATCAAAAGTGTTTATAAGAAAAACACTTTTATTAAATAAGTATTTTTTGGATATTCAAAATTTAAAATAATTAAATTAATGTATTTTATAAAAAATACGTTTGGATGTGAAAACACTTATTTGTGTTACAATTGTTAATAATATTGAATGCACATATACAAACATGCACTACACATATAATGATAAAAATATATATATATACATATCATACACAAAAATATCATATTAATAAATATATCATACGAAAAAACTACATAATCCAACTATCCCGCAAAAACACATGTTAATGGTAAATACAATCAAAAATCATGCTTGATTGTCCCTTACAATTGCTTAAACAATACGTTCTTTCTTCCTACACATTTTTTTTTTTTAAAAAGGAGAAAATTTTATTTCATAAACACCAAAAAATTACAAGAAGCAAAAACTGAAACTGTTCAAGTAAAACAGTTACAGTTTAACAACCAAAAAACAGTAGACTGTACAAAAAAACAGAAAAATTCCTGTTATCCACAAATTGTCCTGTACAGTAACTGTTTTAACCTTGCCACTCAGCTCCTGCTCTGCCTAGCCACGGCAGCATCAGACCAGTTCAGTTCCTCGGCCCAGTAACAGATATCAGTAGTCAGCAGCATCATCTCAACAGCTCAGCAATTCAGCAATATCAGCACATAGCAGAGCAATATCAGCACACAGCAGAGCAAAACAATGCATTGTCAATGCCTGAAAAACCCCCCAATTTCACATCAAAAACACCCGAGTACACCAGACCCATCAACCAATTCCCTGTTTCTGATCACAAACCACCACTCTCTTCAGTCTGATTGTAGGCAACCCATTTTGGTCTTGCTGCAAAATCAATCTCCCAGAAAATGGCAGAGCAATTACCAACAAAAAAGTCAGATTTCCTACCAGACTGTACAGCCAGGGAAGCCAAAAAATCAGAAATCTGCACATAGGAGACTCCCCTGAAATGAGGACAAAACCCGTAACAGCAGCTAATCTCCTCCATACAGCATGAACTACAAAGCAATTAATGAACAAATGATTGAGACTCTCCTCATCCAGACCACACATACTACACCTACTGGCCAAAACAACACCCACACTCCTCACTCTAACATCAGAAGTCAAAGCATTTCTGAAAATTTTCCAAGCACACAATTGAGCACTAGGGAAAGTTTTTTGCATCCAAACACTCTGTGCCAAACTACTATGAACACCTTTCTTTCTAATCTGACTCCAAGCTGACTTAACAGAAAAATCACCTGAATTCTCATGTTTCCAAACTCTCCTGTCAGGCATATCAGACCATACCACCACAGTATTAGCAATCTCAGCTTGATCTTGGGGATTCAACCACTCAGACACCTCATCAAGAAACCAACCATCAGAATCTCAAAGATCATCTTCAATCTTCAACATAAGGACCTCAACCTCAACCAATATTGACTCACGGTTTTGTGCCAACTACAAATATGTCCTTACAAACCTTATTTTGTTAAGGTACTCGGAACATTATCAAATCTCAAGGCCATCAAACCATTCAGTTCAAAACAATGATAGAATTGTTAAGTTAATGATAGCATGCAACCAATAATTTACTTTAAAAAATGCACCATTAGAAGGTTATGATGTTTATCTCACAGTGACTTGTCTGATACTAAAGCTTACATTACTTTGGTGACAAATTTTCCCTGTGAAAAAGAACTGAAAGATGGAAACTATACGAATTTGATTGCATATCAATACAACAACCAACTGGTAAAGAAGAGCAGCTTTTTCATAATGTTAATTCACAAATCATTTAAAGGCAGCATATTGGGGAAAAACAAAAGGAAAAAAGAGAATCCCACTTAGACAGGCTAATGAGTTTAGATCTGTCCTCTGAATAGTGGATTATTTAGATCTGTCCTCTGTATAGTGATCTATCAAACTGTGCATTTGTTCAACTGATAGTCATTTTATCAAATAGTTGGTGGACATCTATCAAACTGTCCAATTTTGCTAAAAATTAAATGTGAGAAAGAGCAATGCATTATGGAAGTAAAATAATACAGTGATTTTCATAGTAATCACGGATCAAAAAAATAAAAAACAGTTTCCCCAAATACATCAAAAATTGATACCGTAGACAGCTCCTTGATCTCCAGAAATTTTATCATCATAAAAAAAAAAAAAGAAATACAAACCAAAATACATCAACCCACAGCAAAGAAGATATTGCACCTCGTTGCAGTCTGAAATAGCTCGTTAGGCAGATAGAAGAGAACAAAAATACATCAGCTCCTTGGCTCCGGCGTCGTTGGTAGTTGGCGACAGAGAAGGTAGTGTCGTTGGTCGGCGAGATGAGAGAATATATTGCCGGTGTCGGCGTCGAGAGAGAAGAAAGCGGCTACATGCAGAGAGGTAAAAATGAAAAGTAAGGAGTGAGGAGACTTGCAGATAGGCATCGGGGTAGTGAGGCGAAAACGAGAGGTAAAAATAAAAAGTGATTTTTAAAAGTAATAGTTATTTATTTTTACTTTTTCATTTACGTTTAACACTTAAATAAGTTAATGTCATGTACTTATAAATCATGTTTTTTTTTATAATTAAGCACAAACTTTATTTAAAAAAGTTTTAATACGATCCCATCTCCCATCTTAACGAATAGACCCAACTTCACTCTGAAGTATTCACGCAAATTCAAGCAGATACTCTCTCGTAATAATATTCTATTTTTTTAAAAAAAAAAATATTATTTAGACTTAATTTGAGAATTTAAATTAAATATGTAATGATGTATAATTATTTGATTGATTGTGAACTCTGTTTAATATTATAACTCACAACTAATCTAATGATTGTCTTAGAGCTACATTATTAGGTCCATAGATTAAGTTCTAAAATAAGGTCCAATAACATTATTTTTTTTATTTTTGGTTTAAAAAAATTGATTTATTCAGTTTAATCACACTTTGACTAATTTTAATTATAATTAAAATTTAAACTCAAAAATTATTTAGGTCGAAATTAATATATTATTCTACTTGATCTAATTCTAAAAAATTATGAAGATTGAGACTAAAAATATCTGATTTACCACCGGTCCTTATTACTCGACACATTACATCCAGTGAACTCTTTCCATTTCCATTTTTCATCCATAACAACAAGAACTCCTTCTTCTCTCTCCGGCGACCTTACCAGTTCTTCAGCTCACTCCTCCGCTTCATATAGTTCCACTGGTGAGTGTTCGCACCATATCATCATAAAAATTTTCTCTTGAATCTCAAAAATGCATACTGGAAAACAAAGACTCTAAGCATGATGACTGATACATTGCAATCGTAAAAACTTTCATCCGGCCATTAGTGTTCTTTTCTCGGTTCCAGATTTCAAAACGTTTCAAGAATATGATCGTCCCAATTAGATCACAAATATTCATGTATTTTTTTTTCTATAATTTGAAACGATGTACTATAAACTCGATTAAAGAGTGTGTGTGTGTGTGGTGCTGTTGTCGTTTACTTTTGTTCTTGATTGGTGTGGTGATGGTGGCAGTGAGCTCAGAGGAGAATCGAAAAATGAAGTTGACTCCGAGAGAGGTGGAAAAACTAATGCTCCACAACGCTGGATTCCTAGCACAGAAGCGTCTGGCTCGTGGCCAAAGGCTCAATCATCCTGAAGCCGTAGCACTTATAGCAACACAAGTATTTACATTTTTTAGGCCTTTTCTTTGTCCTCTACTTCCATAAATTCCATTAATTTTAGCGAAAGTGATTTGTGTTTAAATCAAGTGGTTATTTGCCGAGCTTATGTGCATATAAGGATTTGATATGGTGGTAGCAATAGTAGAAAAGCAAAAATGTAATTATATACTTTTTGAATTGAGGCTTTATTGAGTTTAAGTTTCACACCTATAAATCCTACACTACATATTTGCTCTTTTGTCAAATTCATGTATAAGATGTGATATTGAAACTAAAGCTTGCTATCTGTTTGTGTAATTTTTTTGCCATTCATAGATTTTGGAGTTTGTGCGTGATGGTGAGAAGTCTGTGGCAGAACTAATGGACATTGGTAAACAATTCTTAGGAAGGTACCATTTGTATCATTATCAAATTTCTTCATTTGTTTTTTTATATAGTGTAATTTAAAATTAAGTGGGGATAAGGATTATAAAAGGTTAAGTTGGGATATAAAGAAAATATTGTGATGCCTAAGATAAAAAGAGGGAAGTTTTTTTTTTTTGAGTTTTAAAATGTTTGATTTGATCTAAAGGATGCTTTTTATGAACAGTTTGAAAGGTTCAGTTGAGCATGAGAATGTGAATGTGTGATGGTTCAACAATATATGTTCTCATACATGAGATAAGAAAGACACAGTCTTGCTTGTTGGACCTTTAGGCACTTCTTAGAGATATTAGCATCACTGGGTATAGCTAGGTTTGTCAAAGTTAGCATACCAGGGTATTGATAAAGTTACTTTTAGAAATGAATGAATGTTGCAGTATATTACCTTGAAGGTTCCAGGAAGTGTAAATCATACCTTCCTAAAAAGTTTCACGATTTCTGTGAATGACCAATATGGAAACCCCTTACAGGGAAATCTTTGATTAAAGGTTTTCTTGTAATTGATGTGGCGAAGGACCCAATACTTTGGTATTACTGAACTTCTGTAAACTATTATACAATGATATTTCCTTCAAAGTTGTTTACATATGACAACTAAAGATACTGCAATTTTTTTGCTTTTTAACAGGGGACAAGTACTTCCTGCTGTTCCATACCTTTTGCATACTGTGCAGGTACTAAACTTCGTTGAAGTTATTTAAGTATAAACAAGTTTAATGGTAACCCTCAGCATATATGGAATCTCTTTATTAGTATTATTTTTTTTTTTTGGGGGGGGGTCGTCCTAGTTAAAAAATCACTTTTATTGAAGTTGTTGTATTGACTGCTTCACAATGTTATCATTGCCTATTTTCCCCACTTCATGTATTTTGCTTAACCATCATTTTTGTAGTTAGTTAATTGATAGATTGGCTTTTGAAAAAATAAAAGTCAGCTTCTATTGTGTTGCCAGCTTCTTGCTTTCTGATGCAAACTTCCAACATTTCATATTCATTTCCTTTTCTTTTAGTTCACCATAGTTAAGTTTCTATTTAGTATTTATCTTCTTTGTGGGAATCTTTTAATTTTTTGGCTTCCCCTTTATGTGAGTATGAGCTGCTGATTCTATGTTTAGGTTGAGGGGACCTTTCCTGACGGGACAAAGTTAATCACCATCCACGATCCGATTGCTAGTGAAAATGGAAATCTGGAGCTAGCTTTATATGGTTCTTTTCTCCCAGGTAGGATGCTGTATTTTGGAGCTGTGTTTTAGGGAAATTTGTTTATTATGTTTGGTAAGCACGAGCATATGACAATTTTACTATTGTTTGCTTCCCACTTAATCTGTTGTCAAGGCATTTCGTATCCATAACTAGGATTTGAACTTGAGCTTTAGGCGAGTTTTTGCAAGTTCATTCGCTGTACTTGATTGCAATAGCTGCCTCCTGACATTCATCTTGCAGCGCCATATGAAGCTTTAGGTGAGCTTAAGTAAGCCATGGTTAGCACATTAAATTGTCTCTGTTGTTGTGAAACTCAAAACTTACAGGCAGCTTGAAAAATGCACTAACAACAGTCAGTCTTCTACAGTAAGGGTGCATTGGATAAAAGGTTGCATCAACTAAATGCAGTGGATGAAAGGCAACTTTGTCTACATTTCTGCATGATTCAGACCATCATGCTGCTCCTTGTGTCAATATTCAAGATGCCATGGATTTGGATGGAAACTGGCTGCAGACAACATTGACAGTTGATTTGAGTAGCATGGGGCTGGATAAGAACTTAACAGTTAATGAAAATAGAGTTTAAAGTTGATTGTAATCAAGTCAGTAAGTGCTTTATTTATATCAGCTACGTCACCGTGCAATTGTTAGTTTTATTTCAAGTATCTGTCAATTTATGGAAGCCCCTTTAGCTTTAAATTGATTTTTAGGCCCATCTGTGAGAAACCCGTGGGGGCACTAAGGAGCTGTATTGTTTTTGAGTCACAACCTTCGTCAGAAGGACTTGCAGAATTTGAGCAAGAGGTTGAATTGAATATACTTGCAGCTCCCCACCACTTGAGTACAACTTTTCTTGACAAAATTTTATGTTACAGTTTTCTACTTTCTCCCTGCCTTTTGCACTTAATTTTTTTTATGTCCTAGCTTAATTTGTTGCTTTTCATTATGAAGACTATTTTCTATATTTTTGTGATGTTAGATTGTTGGTGCATTATGCACACTAGTTTTCTTTTGATAATCATTCGGCGAGACACATTCTATATATGTTGGTTCCACTTTTTCTAAAAGGCATTGATGAACGTTAGTTGTGCAGTTCCTTCACTAGACAAGTTTCCCATAGTAGAGGATGATCAAATTCCTGGTGAACTGAGCTGTAATTCTATATATGTTGGTTCCACTTTTTCTAAAAGGCATTGATGAACGTTAGTTGTGCAGTTCCTTCACTAGACAAGTTTCCCATAGTAGAGGATGATCAAATTCCTGGTGAACTGAGCTGTAAAGGCGGATGTATCATACTTAATTGTGGAAGGAAAGCAGTGATCCTTAAAGTCACTAATACTGGAGACAGGCCAATACAGGTGGTTACCTTTTATACTATTTCTGATTTTGTTGCATCATCACTGCTTATACTTGCTGCATTATTTGTGTTGATTAGCAGGTTTGTTATATATGCTTATTTGTGATTAAGTTGTTATGTTTTACATGCAGCACCAAGGTGGTGCAGATAAATAGAGTTTTTCTTTTGGAAATATTGAACTCTCTGATGAGTGGCAAATATGCTTTACACATTGCTTAATTGGTTGGCAGGAAGATGAAATCTTATCTGTTAAGATAATTTTCTATGCTCCCAAAGTTGTTATTCTAGTCTTCTTTAGGTCATTGAGATAATGCACTGACAATTCATAACATGGATAGCTCTGCTATTGATATGAAAGTTGATGGTATTTCCTTTGGTTGAGTTGTTCCTTCTCATACCTTGCAGGCTACACATCTCATGTTATAAAAGACAATAAATTGTTCTGATGTATAAATATAGTTTCTTTCATGTTAATCAAATGTTATAAAAGACAATAAATTGTTCTGATGTATAAATTTAGTTTCTTTCATGTTAATCAAAATACTATGATGTTTCTGTTTAAAATTTGATCTACTTAACATCTTGTCTCCTTTATGCAACATAAATCGTCAGTAAAGTGATGACAATCATAAAATCATTCAGGTTGGCAGCCATTATCCTTTTATTGAGGTGAACCCTTACTTGGTTTTTGATCGAAGGAAAGCATATGGCATGCGGTTGAATATACCAGCAGGGACAGCTATACGTTTCGAGGTAGGACCTTTTGATGTCATTGAAATTAAGTTTGCAGTGTACCTAAGGTCCTAAACTATATTTTATAGTTTATATTAGAATCTAAAATAGAAATGCTTGTTCTTCTGTTTCTTTTAATGAACAAATTTACCATATAAGGGTGATACATAAAATAACTGTTCAGGACATTGTAAGCACTAGAGAAGGATAGGTGGAACAGTAACTTGCTGTTGGAGTTCTGTGTGACAGCTGTTCACCTCTCAAAAAGTAAAGAGGCTCGCACAAATCAAAGGCGTGATTTGTTGAACTTGTCTAAAGCTCAATTGGTGGTGTGCAATAAGGACCTTTGGCTATGTGAGTTGGGAATATGTGGTTAGGTTCTATAAGAATGAAGTGAATGCCAAAGAAACTTGGTTGAGTCTGTGAGAACAGATATAATGCTCCATGATTCAATGAGATTTTTGCTATATTCCACTTAGTGTTCCTTTTTTATCCTTTTTCAAATTAGTGTATCTTTACCTCATCATATTGTATTTGAGTAATCTGGTTCTTGTAACATCTATTACTTCATGAGCAGATCTTTAATATGCCCCTCTTGCGTGCTTTTGTGAAACTATTCGTGTATGTCTTTTACTTTGCTAGCCAGGGGACACAAAAAGTGTGACTCTTGTGAAAATTGGGGGTAGGCAAGTTATCAGAGGAGGGAGCAGCATTGCTGATGGTCCTTTTGATCATGACAATATCAGAATATTAATGGAAGCTGTGCAAGCAAGAGGATTTGGGCATTCTGATGAAACAAGTGCCAGGTTTAAAAGATCAGCCGACCAATTCTGTATTACCTTTGTTCATGTTGCTTTAGTGTCCCTTATGAAGTTTAGTGGTTCTGCCCTGCCAACATGGTTATAGATAATGGTGCTTTATTTTGAACCAAACTTTGCAGTGAAGGTGCTATCCAAGAAGGATCTGCTTTTACGAATTCAATTTCTCGCGAAGCCTATGCTAACATGTATGGTCCTACCACCGGAGACAAAGTTCGGCTTGGTGACACTGACTTGTTTGCAGAAATTGAAAGAGACTTTGCTGTTTATGGTGATGAGTGCATATTCGGAGGTGGAAAAGTTTTAAGGGATGGAATGGGACAGGCTTGTGGGTGTCTGCCAGCTTATTGTCTGGACACTGTTATCACAAATGCTGTGATCATTGATTATACGGGAATTTTCAAGGCAGATATTGGTATTAGAGGAGGTCTTATTGTTTTCCTTGGGAAAGCAGGCAACCCAGATATCATGGATGGTGTATCACATGACAAAATAATTGGTGTGAGTTCGGTCTCATTTCCAGGTAACAGTGGTGGGGTTATGATCAACCACTGGGCTGACACTCTAGGTTTCCTCTTTTTCAAATAGGTTAACACTGAAGTCATTGCGGGAGAAGGAATGATCGTTACAGCGGGAGGAATCGACTGTCATGTGCACTTCATATGCCCTCAACTAGCTTATGAGTCGATAGCAAGCGGTGAGGTTTCTACTTGATTCAGGAATACCGTACTGGGGAACCATTTGGTGACAGGTTATCTAGTCTGGTACAACAAGATGCTAATGTATTGTTTGCATTCATATCTTGACACTTTATTTGGCACATTGTCTGTTAGTTATAGTGGATCTATTGAGTCAGCAAATTGCATGTCACCTCCTAAAGTTGGAGTCTAAAAAGCATGGACATGAACTTGGGATACGAACGTGACATGACTTGGGCATGCTAACACAAAATGCTAAAAATGTAAGGAATGGGCACAGCGAGTACATGCTTAAAATTTGACTCAATTGATCTGCAAACAAAATCTTATATCAGTTGTGTGTTTTAACTTATGATTATGAGTCGTAATTCAAAAATCACCCATCTTGTATATACAATGCATAAAAGAATTCATAAATTATGCTGCTACATATAATCTGGCAACTCCCTTCCTTTAAATCTGACCTTCATGTCCTAGCCAAAAATGCAAAGTTGGTGAAACCTAAGCATAGCTATGTCACGTGAAGGGAAGAACTTTTAGACACCTTCTCCAATTATTTCCCGGAGCACAAGGGTTGGGTAAACCATGTCAGCTGGATAGCTATAGTAAAGAGTTTAGAGTGCATTCTCCCGAGGGGGCCCCTCTTCCTTGGGAGGAGTCGTAATGTCATTTCCGTTGATCAACGGCCATATTTTTAGCACAAACACGCTGACCTTTGCTATGGACCTTCAATGCAATTACTTTTAAAAATTTGTACTTTTCTTTGTGCTTTGATGAAGTTATATTTTGACCTTTGAGTTTAGTTAATCATATGTTGCTGAGTGTTCAAGTCTTCAAGAAGTTCGGCCATATGCCCAAATCATGATTTTATTGTTTAACGTGGACATAACCAAAGGGGACTCTTAGTGTCTGAGAAATGGCAGTATCCGACATGGATATGTGGCCTTTTTTAGGATTGGCCAATGTGCTGGAAAGATTATAATTCTTAGTGCTGGAAAGTGGTGCCTTATGTTGAGTAAAACTCTTGTAAACGTTTCCATACATCATTCTATAGTAAATGAAGCCTTGTATTTGGAGTAGTTGCTTTTGGTGAAATGTGCAGAATATAGCGATCCAAAGGGTTTGCTACATTTATTCGTATTCTACAAAAGAAGTATCTAAGCATGAAACCTTGGGTCCAAACCATCATTCGCGATCGTAACAAAGGCTGCAGCTTGAGGCAGAAGAATACACACGACAAGCACACTCATCGATCAACACTCCCGTTGCATATATGTAAAGTTGCCTTCTTGCTGGTTATTTTTCAAAATCAAGAAGAATTTTTTTCATAAACCTTTTGAACCAATCGGATGATACTGCCTATCTAGGTTCTATTTGGGGTCAGTTTCTGTAGTGCTTCCTAATCAGTTATTGACATATAACCAGAATGTAACAGCAACATGTTAAGATTTTCTGAAGGCTAATTTATGAGGCTAACAAAACCTAAATCTTACATCTTTCAGCTTATTTTAAGGAGCCGTTCTTATTGTCCAAATTTGTGGAAATGGTGGCAAATGGAAAATATAAGGTAGCTGATAGGAGGTTGTTGAACTTCTGCCAGTATATTAGAAAGCTACCAGATCTCTGCTTTGCCTGCTGCTCCCATCCCTGTTCTAGAACTTTACTGCATACCCTTAATTTGGACAACTTAGTCTTCAATTCTGTTTCACATGATCAACTTCCAAAACCACTCTGATTGCCAGAAACAGGAGTATGGTTGCATTAGGCAGCTTGATGATAATGTTATCAACCCCTTATTAACCTATTCTGACCATATGCAAGTTAAGTCCATATGGAGTTGAATTGAAGTGGAGCATGAAATGAGTTCCTCCATTAAACTGGCAGTCTTTCCAAGCTAGTGGGCAATAACGGACCACCTAGCGGTTAAGACTTGTCCTCAACTAAACTGGCATTCCCAGTGTTTATATGATGACTTGGAATCCTTCTCTATCCACTTCTTGTTATGTATTCCAGAACATTACCTTTCGACAACTGCTTGTCTATTTTTGAGGAATAAGATAAATCTATTAACTACTTTCTCTGAATGTTTTTATTCTGTCTCACTAAACTTCACAACATATGTAGGCATCACAACATTAGTAGGAGGTGGAACGGGTCCTGCTGATGGGACACGAGCAACTACTTGTACACCGGCACCATCACATATGAAATTGATGCTGCAATCTACAGATGACCTGCCACTAAATTTTGGTTTCACAGGAAAAGTATGATTTATTTGTTTAACTCACGGTTATTTCTTCCTGTTTTTTTTGGCTTGTACTGTTGTACATGTTAAAGCATATGCACACTCACGCATGCTCAGACATGCACTCACACATTGTTTAGTCATCTCTCTCTGTGCAACATTTTAAAGAGCTTGTTTGTGGAAAATGTTTTGCCTCTTTAGGGGAACAGTGCCAAGCCAGATGGGCTACATGAAATAATCAAGGCTGGAGCAATGGGACTGAAGCTTCATGAGGATTGGGGAACTACTCCTGCTGCTATAGACAATTGTTTGACTGTTGCAGATCAATATGACATTCAGGTTACTATTTTTCCAAAAGGGAATCTGGGCTTCTAATGCTATTGCGGATTCTAGTTACCTTTTATTGACTTAGTGAAATTGACAGGTTAATATCCACGCAGATACCTTGAATGAATCTGGATTTGTGGAGCACACAATTGCTGCATTTAAAGATAGAACTATTCATACTTACCACAGGTATAAAGTGCAAACACCCTTCCCCTGTGGTGGCCCGTGCGGTCGTGCACAGAAAACTTAAAAAGAAAACGTAAAAACACACACTTACTGTGACTTCAAAATAGTATCTCAATATTCATTAACCTTGTGTAAATCAAAGAGTCTTTCGATAACTTTGTCCCAATTTTGGATCATATTCATTGTGGCAATTTTGTGTCCAGTTCTTTGTTTAAACTTTGCCGAGACTAAGACATGTTTTATTACCGGGTAACCAGGTACTATCTTTTGTATTGTTGAGATTGGAAGTTGTATTTTGCTAGTCTTCGGTGTGTTTGGAAGTTGTGAAGCTGAAGAGTGAGAATGACAATGAGAAACTCACTTTTGTTGGAAAGATTCTAGTTATAAAGAATAGTATGGAGAACTGAGTACTTGAGGGCTCGTGGGGGAATTTTGTTGGGAGATGGGAACCTAGCTCTTGTAGTGTTATGGTACCTTCTTTCTGAGCTTTATTCTCTAGGCTGTGGTGAAGCTCCCTTTTTTTTCTTGATTTCTGTTTGATCTTGATGGCACAAGTGGCTTGAAGTATTTTTTTCTTTTTTCTCATGAGGAGATGCCTTACCTGAACTTGTTTCCTATGTTGTGTTAGAGGCGGAGGCATACTTTCCAACAGTCCCACCCAAAGTCCTCATCCTTGAAAGTAGGAAACAGAAATCAGTAGAATCACATCCCTCACCCCCCCCCCCACGGGGCGGGTGTCCTTCAACTGGACTGTTTACAATTTTATATCTGTTCGGTTTTCAGAATCTTCTCTTGTTCTACATCAAGACAAATGTTTTTAAGGAGAATTGTTAATCTCATTTCTTTAACGGCCCTACTATTATTATCTTTTGATCCATGTCCTTCTATTTTCAGGTAATCATATATTGAAGTGCGCACACAGGTTAACTTGCAAAATTACGGAAAGTAGTGGTAGATGATAAATTGATTTTTTGATTCAAAAGAACATGCCGTTTTGTGAACCCCATTTTGAGCTATCAATGATAGGCCTGTTTTCTTTTGGTAGGCTAGGCGTTGACTTTCTCTTTTACTTCTTCAAGGATGCACTTTTAAGCGGTTGATGCCCGTCATGATGGTTCCTTTTGTAATTGCAGCCTCGGCTGTGTTCTCTTGTTGGATTGGGTTTGTTTTAGCCTTGTATCAGTTGCAGTCTTTATTGTTGTCCTCCAAAAATGCATTTGGACTTGTTAGTGATTTCAACTGGCTGCGGTGAAATTGTGTACCCATGTTTGGGTGCAGGTTGGCATTCTGGTGTTTGGTAGTATGCTTGCCCTTTTTGTGAATGACTTCTTTAGTTCTTTTAAGGCTTTTTGGTGGCTTATCTAAATTTTGTTTTATCCATAAATTCAAAGTTGATGTGATGTTAGGTATTTGTGTTGCTTAGTCCACAAATATCTCTTGATTAAGCAAGGATAAATAAATTGGCATTCTTTTGTTTTGATTCTACAACAACTTGAGCAGTTTTTTAAAAGTATGTTTTCTTGTTGCCTGTTTGTGCAGTGAAGGTGCAGGTGGTGGTCATGCTCCAGATATCATCAAAGTTTGTGGTGTGAAAAATGTTCTGCCCTCATCAACAAACCCAACGCGTCCTTACACTTTAAACACCACAGATGAGCACCTTGACATGCTGGTATAAGGCGATAATATAATTATTTTATTATCTCGTTATTGTATACCTGTTCTGCAATCATACCAAATAATAAGGTATTTATAAGTTATTCTTTATGGATATTTATCTAAGTTGATTTGAATGCGTACAGATGGTCTGCCATCACCTTGATAAGGACATCAAAGAGGATGTAGCCTTTGTTGAATCGCGAATTAGGGCTGAAACAATGGCTGCAGAAGACATTTTGCATGATATGGGGGCAATTAGCATTATATCTTCTGATTCACAAGCTGTGGGTCGCATTGCAGAGGTTCCTGATTTAACTAGTAGTATCTTCATCATGTTCGTAGTTGATGTGCTTCTAACATTTCCAACTACCTACTGATGTTTGGAGTTTTTCATGAATCAAACATTTAACTCTAGAGAGATGATCTTATAGTGTGACTTACATAGAGCATGTCGAGGTATCCGTGTCATTAGCATGTACTTTTGGGTTGGAGATTTCACGGTATCCTAAAATACCCATCTCTCTCTTCCATATGGAGTCATATTAAACTTCGATGCATATGTTAGAGATTGGCTTCATATGCCGCTTGCATATCCGGTGACCCAATTGGCTCTGTTTTATGGTCTTGATCAAAGATGTCTACAGTCTTGTCAATTTATCCGGCAGGAGATCTTGTCTTAAATTGGCAACCTTCCCTGATATCACAAAAAGGTTTTGAATCAAATCACCATAAACTGAGACATTCTGGCTGTAATCTCAGCTCTTTCTAATCCTTCACCTTACCACCCCACCTGGGGCTAGATTGCCCGAGTTATTTGAGTATCTTTGCATCTTTACAAGATCTATCCCTTGTCAAGTTCTTAATATCCCTACTGCAATGAGTTATCATCTGCCTGTTGTGGGCCTTTGAGTCAAAATTTTAGGCTTCTATGCCCCTGGTGCTCTCCCTAGTCATGCAGTGGATGGGGTAGCATGGGAAGAAGCTTCTTTGAAGTGCCAATCCCTTTTTTTTGTACTGTTTTTTTTTTGTTGTTTGTATATCTTTTGTTTACATCTGGCATATCCCAAACCAGAAAGAAAAAAAAAAGAAAAGAAAAGAAATTTTCCGCTGGTATTTATTCATGGGACTTCAAGTTTATCAGGGTGGTAGAAATAGTATATATTGAATACATGGAATGTTTTAATTCTTAAACCTTCATCTTGCGTTATCATTTGTGTGCTTCAACAGTTAAACCAATCTGCAATCTGGAGTATACAACTGCTAACAAACATGCAAATAACTGTTGTAACTGTTAATTTTATTGGGGGCCAGGGAGGTGTGGTGGATGAGGATGGTGAAAAAAGATGAATGTGCTTGATATATCCATCACCCTGAAATCAAATGCAACAGCAGTTACAGTCTAAAAGAGTTATTAGGTTTTGTTGTTCGTGCTTGTGATGAACTGATTGCATATTAGCTTCTTCAGAATGCAGATGCAGTTATCTACCTTCACTTGAATCCTGTCATACTATTTGGGACTTGGCTGCTTACTTCAGGCAAATGTATTTCTTATCAGGTGATTTGCAGAACTTGGCAAACCGCTCACAAGATGAAGTTAGTGAGAGGATCAATTGAAGCTGATGGATCAGACAATGACAACCTTCGGATAAAGCGATACATCGCCAAGTACACCATAAATCCTGCAATAGCTAATGGATTTTCTCAGTATGTGGGATCAGTTGAGGTAAACTCTTTATTGATTTTTAATTTCACCTTGTAACCTTAGAACAAATAAGTAAATGATGATATGGCTCTAGGAAATAATGATTTTATATTTGAAGACGTTATGAATGTCTATTACAATCAAAAACAAAAAAGTTTGGTTGTAATCGACCATCTCCATAGATCTAACCCAGAACTTCAGAATAATAGATACTCAAATCATACATGTCAGTAGTCGTGTCATCAGTTATCTCTGCTACTGCTAGATCACTTTGCGAATTTGTGCTGTGCTGTCTGAAGAAAATAGGTCTATCAGATAGGAGATGGCTATGGTCATCACTCGTCAGTCATCCAGTGTTCATGATTCTTGATTTTGGAGTCATCGTGGTCAAAATGATTTGAAATGGTGAAATGAATGGTATATAACTCCATTTTCAGGCATATATTTTTTAAAAATCCTGCTTATCAGAGAAAAAATCATTAAATAATTTTGCAAAGTATTTTCTTTGCTTTTCTCATCTTTGCACGGTGAGAAGAGTTCCCTATACTCTATGAGCTAATTATGTCAGTAGTAATACACGTGATTGATCGATATTCTGCGCTACAACATATTATTTCGTGATTTCATGGCCAGGAATGTACTGTTATTAATTGCTGAGTACTAATTAAGCAGCTCCTTAAGTTTAGGTTTTTTTTTTGAGACTTAGCAGCTCTTCTTAGTTAAATTCTCACTGATACTAAAACAAAGTTGGACCATGCATGTTTGGTAGGTGGGGAAGTTGGCTGATCTTGTCATATGGAAACCATCTTTCTTTGGGGTAAAACCTGAAATGGTGATCAAAGGTGGTGCAATTGCATGGGCTGACATGGGTGATCCAAATGCAAGCATCCCTACTCCTGAACCGGTAAACATTATTTATCCTTAGAAGTATCCAAGTTGCATGTTCCAAATTCAGACATCGAAGTTTTTATCCCCAATGCTGGCCCATTTGCAGGATCTTCTTGAGCTTGCAACTTCTCACATTCAATTACATAACTGAAAAATATGATTTTGTATTGTTGAAAAATACTTAAGATTTTAACAGTTTCTTTTTGGTCAGATTGGAAATTTGATTTTGGTGGATTCTTCATTTGATGTTTCAGTCAAACTGGTGAATTTTGGTTCAATTTTACTGAAGCACCAATTGTTGCAGGTGATGATGAGGCCCATGTTTGGAGCATTTGGCAAGGCTGGAGGTGCTAACTCAATTGCTTTTGTCAGCAAGGCATGAACTTCCTTCTGTTGCTCCCTCCTATGTCCACTAGTATAATTTACATTTAAGTTTCTATTTGTCATATGTATGTTTCACCCTCCAAAACAGGCANTTCTGTTGCTCCCTCCTATGTCCACTAGTATAATTTACATTTAAGTTTCTATTTGTCATATGTATGTTTCACCCTCCAAAACAGGCAGCCGCTGATTGTGGAATTAAAACCCTGTATGGACTCAGCAAGAGGGTGGAAGCTGTGGGCAATGTGAGGGGGCTCAGCAAACTTGACATGAAGCTCAATGATGCTCTTCCAAACATCAATGTGGATCCTGAGACATACACAGTTACTGCAGACGATGTGGTTCTTACCTGCAATGCAGCTATCACGGTCCCTCTTTCTCGAAACTACTTCCTCTTTTAGGCTCCATTGCCGATAATTCTGATAGCTTACCGTCTTATATTTTAATTCTAGAAATTTGTACAACTGGACCCAATTTTTTTTTTCAAATTTGCAAAAGTGAAACAAGGGATCCTTCTAATGTTAATAAATAGTAGTTCTGAATTTTTGTCAATCTTTGATGCCTGCTGGACGCATGGAGGCAACAGTTTTTCTTCTCTCTCTCTCATTGATGGTTCCAACATTGTCTTTCATTTGTAAATGATTATGATGAGCTCGGGTAAGATGATTTTCAGTGTTATCTTAAATCAGGTGTGTTGATTTAATAATGTTTCTTTGGTTTTATTTTTAGGTCATTTTTGGCTCAGGTCTACCTGGCCTCATTTTGCAACATTTTCCAACCAATTATGTTTGCTACAGCCCTGTCATCTGTCATTAATGCATCACAATCCACGCTCAGGGGTGATGAGGCTTTGGCAACTGGCAAGTCTATTGTTTTACTGCCTCTTGACCCCTGTTTTTTGTGTCTCTGAGTTCTGGATTTTTGAGCTGATTATTTGTTATGGAAGCAAACTTCAGTAACTTACAAATATCTGGTGCTATGGATTAGGAACCTTTTTTATTGTTATTTAACATTGTTTTGGCAATCCTTCAACTTTCAGTGGCATGGTGCAAGGTCTTCAGGTCAGCTGGTACTTGTGATAGAGTATACAGCCTTTGTCCCCGTTGTTTGAATTTCCCTCATTGGCCCAGGAACGGAACTAGGATTTCTTTATCCCCATTGGCCCGGGAATTTGTCCAACTATATGACAAAAAAAAACTGATAATTTAATAAAATAATTAACAACCTCATCATAGAACCACTTAAGTACAACTAAATGTGAACTCAAATTTATGGCATCGTCAATAATTTCGACACACATTCATCAAATAATCCAACAATTATAGCCAAATTTATCCTCAATTTCACCAAATAACCTAACAATTTTGACTCAATTCAAAAAGTAACCTAATGATTTGGAGAAATTTTTGTTTTATTNACCTAACAATTTTGACTCAATTCAAAAAGTAACCTAATGATTTGGAGAAATTTTTGTTTTATTTAATTAGAATAAAAAGAATGCGAAGGGTAATGTTTCGTTTTCTTTTAATTAGCTTCTTTAATTAAACCACGTTAATTCGACAAAGTTAAGTTAAATATTATATATGCTCCACAAACTCTTATTCTTTTTTTTTTTTTACCTGCTCTCAAAGCATCCCGGTGTGGACAACTAGAGAAACACTATACTAGAGGAGGCCCCACTTGACCCAAAATAATAATAATAATAATAATAATTTTTTGTTGAGGGCATTGTCTGGTTATGGAATGCCACTAGATCAACACCAAGTTTCAATATTTGATGAAGTCCACATTCAATCCAAAGATCACAGTGAACTAAATCAGTAAATTAAGTCCTAATAGTATTGCTCTAAAAAAATACCTAACTGTTTGGTAAAATTGTGTTTTAAAAAGTATTTTTGAAAAAATGTTTATTTATAACTAGTTATGTCTATCTATAACTAGTTCATTATCGTTTTTTGTTTTTTATCTTATAATTTGAGATAAGTAAATTATCTATGAAGTAAGCCTAAAACATATATTTAATTGTAAAAATTAAGACTAATTTTGAAAAGTAAGATGAAATTAAAAATCACTTCCCGAGAAGTGCAATTAAGATGTTTTTTGAGAATCTCCCCTTAGAGACTTTCCTAGAATGAGGATCTTAAAAATGCACTTTTTGAAAAGTCTAATTTTTTTTAGACACTAAATAATCTTATCTCTTTTAAAAAATGTTTACATTACGGGATAGATTTGAGTTGTCCACCAAACACACAAGTTGTAGATATCTGATCATTTTGAGATTTACAGTGATATTTCGTATAAATATCTAATCATTTTGCATTCTATGGGTTTGATCATAAGCCCCTAACATTCTTCTTGTTTTGTTTTTTTTTTTAAATTACAATAATTTGTAAATTGAATAATTTACAAATTATTGTCAACTACCATGTTGGCGTGGAAGGAATTCTATACCGATATTGGATGACTATAACATTTTTNTAATTTACAAATTATTGTCAACTACCATGTTGGCGTGGAAGGAATTCTATACCGATATTGGATGACTATAACATTTTTTTTTTCATGGTAAGTAATGACCGTAACATGTTACATGAAGGTTATAACATTTATTTTTTTACCCAAAAAATAAAAAGAAATATGGTATCATTATTTTACGTATTCAAATTTCTTTTAATTCTTTTTTTAAAAATTATTCTTTGCGAATCATCTACCAATAAGGTACTCACTTGTATAACATATACCATTTATTAGAATTTATAATAGGTGATCATCTGAAAGAAAAAAAAAACATATATATCTGTATAATAAAGTAGTTTACAATTTAAATTTTAAAAGATAAACAAAATGACTTTTGCTATTCGCAGTTACGATCTCTTTAAATTTTACTTTAAAGTTAATCTAACGACTAATATTAACACTCAAAATTTAATAGGAAAAATAAGCCCCTAAGGGTGTGTTTGAAATAACTTTTTAAAAGTACTTCTAGAAATTATTTTTCATAAATATTTTTTTAAAAAAATAGTGTTCGAAACCGTCTCACCATTACCTCTACCACCACCACCGTCGCCACCACTACCACTGCCACCACCACCCCTCGCCACCGCCACAGGCACTGCCACCGCCACTGCCACCACCCCCGTCCTACCACCACCTCCATCGCCTCCACCATCACCACCGCCACCACTACTGCCACCACCACCACTGATGTTGCCGCCACCACCACCATCGCCACCACTACTGTCGCCTACCACCTCTCACCCCTACTACAAACCGATGTTTAAATTTATTTATCTCTTCTCTATATTTATGATTTGATTTTCGATATGAATACAAATATGTTTATTGTTTACCATTTTTTATTACTTTGTGCCTTCAGACACAGACAATAACTAGTATATATATATATATATAACCTATAGTCGATGGTTAAAGTTGACATTCTTTAAGGATTATAGGATTGGCCGTTATTAGTCACGTGGATCGTCCGTGCATTTCACAACCTTCCCTATGATTGGTCGGGGTTCATATCATATGCGTCTTAAACTTTCATTAAGAATTCTCTACTCTCCAAGCATTAATTAAAACAATGGATAGCGGTGACACATAATAATAATAATAATAATAAGGAAACGAATGCATCCCACTGGAGTCTTGCGGCCACCCAACTCTTGTCAAGGCGTAATAATACCATTAAACTATGGTTAAGTTTTTAATTACTCTAAAGATTTGTTTTTTTAAAAGTTAGAGGTGTTCAAACCAGTTTATACACATATTAACTAATCGTATTTTTTGATCCAGTCAAAGTCAAGTCATCAACACTAGAGCTAAAGTATTTATAAAAGGTAAATTTCTTATGACTTAACCCTAAAAGATTGTCAAAATTTAAACTCAGAATGTCTGAGTTTACAATTCGTTTATATTATCACTTAAACTATTCTTTAGAGATAAAGATTATTTTAATCATTCCTAAAAAACTACAATCAATAATATTTCTATATTAATATAACCCTCTTTTTTCTATTGAAATAACTCAACTCTATAACCAAACATATCCTAACCAATTTACAATCGACAATGCTGTACTAATAAAAAAGGGAAAAAAAATAATAAATGGCGTGTTATTAATATAATACTTAATATTAAAATTTTACTCATGACTCTTAAAAAACCGCTCACATTTCTCTTCATCATTTGATAATTTAAAATATTTAAGTTCAACATTTCTTATATTCTTAAAGGTCGGTCACCCTTATTTTTAAGGGGACATGTTTTAAACTCACTCGAATTATGATGGTAANAAGTTCAACATTTCTTATATTCTTAAAGGTCGGTCACCCTTATTTTTAAGGGGACATGTTTTAAACTCACTCGAATTATGATGGTAAATATTTGAACTCAAATGAATAGTCGGTACAAACCTTAATATCCTCTACCAAAAAAGAAAAGAAAAGAATAATGAGGCGCATCAATCATGATGTTGTTGTATGATATTACTAGTAATTGTCCGTGCCTGAAGGCACATCGACAAAAAAATCCTTTACAACTTAAAAAAATCATCAATTTGAACTAGTTCTTAATATTGAAATTAAAGTAGTCCCTAATATTTTTCAAAAATTTTGACAAAGTTTCCTTTAAAAATAGGAGCTCAAAAAAATTTAAACTTGTATACAGAATTTACAATCATACATAACAATCATCATAATACACCATATCACCACTATTCAATTCTATTTCCCCCAAAATCATCAATACATACCCAACCACCAAAATAACCAACATTTCATACTCAAAACCATCAATACATACCCAACTACCAAAACAACCAATATTTCATACCCAAAATTATTAATACATACCCAATCACCAAAACAACCATCATTACATACCCAAAATTATCATAAGTATGTATAATTAGTTGACTGTACAAAAAATGGAACAAACAAAACACACACATGCACAAAGAAAGGAACAATTTTCACCAACTTCATCTTCTTTATAGCTAACACCAAACATGTTTCCATGTATACCTAAAAATGATTGAAATATACAAATTATTGTTAATTGTAATCAACATAATTGTTGTCATCAAATCTATTACCCTGAATTATCCAAAACAAACAAATGAACACACAAATTTGTATGTTGGGGGGCGGGGGAGGATTTAGAGATATATAGGTAGGAATTTAGAGAGATGGTAGGAAATTACCAATTTACTTAGGAAAAGATACAGAGTGTAGAGAATTTATACTACAAAAACGTAACGATCAAATAATCGAACTCCTATCGAATTGGGTGTGATGTAGAAGAGAAAGAACACATAATATTTCTCTGTATCATTTCAACTAACGGTGCAGCTGCCTAAGGATTTCAATCACAAATCTTTATTATTCATAGTGTAATGGTGTGAGTGTGATGTGCGAGTGTTTGAATGGGTGTAGTTGGGTGTGTAATCTGTGTGTG